TGCTTAATTATATTTCAAAGGGTATCTTCAGATAATAACAAATCCATACTGTTTATTTCTATTATTGAGACTGTCACACTGATTAGATGCTATGAGAACCTGTGCACACATATGATCACTGAGCAGCAAAGTCTCAGTGATGCTAGAATGATACTGAAATAAACAATGGGCTGTTTGGCCTTCCAAAGGCTAAAATCAAAGCTAGAATTAAGTAGCAAATTTGGGCTGAGCACCAAAGCTAAAGTCAAGTACCATTACATCACTAATATATTAATTATTTCTTTCTAAAACAGCAGGAAGATAGAAATGAAAACTCTGTGAGTGTGGGGATTCAGGTCCATCTGAAGTGCCATTAAATTAGGGGGGGGGGCAGGGCACTGCCATTTCCATTTTCTGAAGAACAGTGACAGCTGAAGAGAAAGAATTCAAAGGCAAAGTTATTTGGAAGTCAGCTGATCTACTAACATTACTCTTTATATCAGTAATTTGGGATGCTCAGAATAGATGATTATTTAATACATTCTCTGTTGAGTTGACTTATTTGAATTTTTCCACATACCAGCCACTGTCTTGTTACTTTTCAAATATTAACTCCTTCAATTCTCACAAGAATACATGAGAAAGGCACTTCTATTTTATTATTTCTATTTCACAACTATGGAAACCAAATTAGAAAGAGGTGAAGTAATTATTCAAAATCCATAGATATATAGTGGCAAAGCCTGGGATGCAGAGCCCAGGCCCTACTGATTCCACCTCATGGCCTGGGTACCTGTGAACTGAGGAAGATGGCGGCAGTGTCTCATGATTGGCATTAGTATTTTCTCTCAAGTTTCAGGCTTGGAAACCTTTCCCAGTGGTTTTTGTCCAAGAAGCTTGGAGGTGCAGGGAGAGACTGAGATTCCTAAATTTGCTGTGGAGGGGAGGAAGGTTGAAGACTTAAAGGGGAGGGGATAAGTAAAGGGTAACAGAGAAACAGTAAGTAAGAATATAAGAGTGTGTACTGGCTTCCCTAATTTGCCTTGGGAAAGGCAAAGTTTACCTCACTCATTGAACAATATCTTGTTTCAAGAAGCAAAGCAAAAGAATTATTAAATAATCAATTAATTAAGTCAAGTAAACATTTTTTCTTCATCCTCCTCTCCCTCCTCCTTCTTTCTCCTTTTCCCTCCCCTCCCCCTCTACTCTGACTTTTGTCAAAATATTTCACATCTTTGGACTTTGGTTTCTTTTATTTTTAAAATGCAAATATCAATACTTACTTTACAGGGTTGTTTTAGGGATTAAATTGGAAATACACAAAAGCACTTAGCATAATGCCTGGTACATAGGTCTCAAAATGTTTCAAAATGAACCACATTACCATTGAGAGCAACTGGGTGAAAGGTACACAGAACCTCCTTGTACATTTTTTTGCAGCTTCCTGTGAATTTGTAATTATTTCAAAATAAAAAGTTAAAAAATGTATTAGCTATCTTGTGTGTGAATTGTATTGTGCTAATATAATTGTGCTAATATTTTTCTTGCCAAATGGAGGAATTAAGGACCAGGAACACAGTTTTGTTACAGAGGAATACACAAAAAGATGAAATTAGGACAGAAGCATTTTCTTCTTAGTTATAGAACCATAAGGCAGCATTAATGTGAAAGGACCTTAGAATCAAGACATAATTTAATCACCAAGTTTATCTGGGTCTGAATGTGTGGTTTGCTTATGTTTTTTCTCCTGGTTTAACTTGGTTCATCCATTCAGATTCAGAATAATAAGCATTTCCTCAGCACATACTCTATATACTGCCAACAACATCTGGGTAGCCTCTTCCACATTGCTTTGGATATGATTGCAACTAATACTTTCTGCATTAAGGGAAAGGTATTAAGAAAATTAACACTGCCATTGTAATCCATTTAACCCTTAACTGTTTTCACATCTTAATTTTTTTAAAAAATAAAATTAAAATGCACGCAACAAATTGTATAGGATGTCTTACCTCTGCTTAAACAACTACAAAATTGCTCAGTGGAGAATCCTTTTAGCTCTGCTAACCTGGATTACAGTGAAAAAGCACTAGAGTACTTACATGGTGCTGCATAAGAAACAGAGGATTTATTTTCCTTTATACTTGGTTTACAGTGGTGGTCCTAACAGGATGCACTATTGTGCTCAGAATATGCTAAGAAACTTGCAGCCTTGGCTGAAAGTGGAACAGAACTTAAACTCTGTTGCATGGTATGGGCCACTTTCAACTCCTGTAAATGGAGAAAGAACAGCCTGAATAGGAATAACTCTGGATGGAGCTCAGTTCTGTAGCTTTTGTTCCTTTCCTTTTTTTTCCTCTCCTTCCTTCCTTCTCTAACCCTTCTCTTTCTTCCCTTATTTCCCCCTCCCTTTCTCTTTCTAGGATGGTATCAGAAAATGCATGTTTAACTGAAGTCAATAAAAAGGGATCTAGTGTTTTTGAAAAATAAAGCCAAATTACGAAAGCTCTAGAAGAGGCTAAGATTTCACATTTCAGAATCTTGACATGGAGCTAGAAGAAGTGTAGAATGGAAAGATAAGACAAATTTCACACATATATTTACTTCTATAAAATTTACCCCAAAATATATAGAGGGTTTAGATAAGAGATTGGTAATAAATATATTTTAAAAGAGGAAAACATTTGTTTTTTACTTGGGGGTGACAGTCTGTGAGGGACATCTCATGAACCTGTCCTAAAAAAAAAACACCGAAGTAAATGAATGTTAAAAATTTGTTTAAAAAGCATTTGTATCATATTTCTTCATTTTCAGATTGATTTTTTACTATTGAAAACAATAACTGATAATCTGCCTTCTATGTACTTTCAGCTTCAGGAATGATCGTTCTGAAGAAAAAAGTAAATGGTTCCATTACCAATATAAACAGTAATAAATGGGATAGCATCAAGCAATGCCAGGTAGGTTATACTTATTAGCAATAATTTTCCCATGATATTTATTATGTTTGTGTTTAAAGAACAAATTAATTAATTTCCAAGTTTTTTCGGCTACTAATGAAAATTTTCACTATCATTTGAAAGGGGACTTATTCTGAAAAATTCAGGCCTTACTAGACACATAATTGGATAATACTTTTTTAAAAATTGACTTATGACACTCCCTCTATTTTACACATTTCAGGGGCAGACAGGTTAAGAATTCAGACATCATGTTGTAGTCTGACCACTAAATAACACATTGTGCCTCCGGTTTACCCACAGGCTATATTGTAAGTGAAACTGGAGTAAGGGTACATAGAATAATTATTGCTATTCTTTGTTTAAATATCATTTTTTATAATGAGGGAACAGAGTGCATTTCATAAATACTGGTTTAAACACCATTAATACTATCATTGAGAAAGGAGAGGGAGAGAAAATCAAAAGTAAAAAACGTGAATTCATGCTGAATCATGAATGAAGATACCCTCACTGAAATGTCTGCAAAAACTAGTTTGGTTAATGCAGATAAGATGATAACCACATTGCATAAATCCTGAACAATGTATAGTACAAAGTTATACAGGGCCTCCACCTTTGCTGCCTTCCCAGAGAATAATGAGATAAAACCTAAGGGGGCCTAGCTATCAAAGGCAGTCAGTCATTCTGTGTCCCAGGGTAGCATTTGGTATATAACCTCTATTTATTTTATCATGATCACTGAGAATTATACTGGGTACATCCTTCAGGCAGTTTTGTCTTTATATGTAGCTGAAGAATAGTTGGCCCTCTAAATTTTATGTTGTTTAGAGATCATTAGTTAGTGTTGAGCCAAATCCTCTTCCCTCCTCCTTGGACCCAGAACTGCTAAAGTGGTAGGTGTCAACAAGTATCACAGCAGGGCAAAGCTGTCACAGATTGAATCAATTGGAGCTGGTTTCTGTTGATGATTTGTGAATTTCTAACTCCTTGTTATTTTGATAGTTGGTGTCAGCTGAATTCATATAAGGGCATTCTGCAAGGGAAAAAGAGAAATACATGATAATTTAGACTTTAGTTTTTATTCTGTATTTGAGAACATTAGACACACACCTGGAATTATAGGCTGTATTTCAATTTTTATTATGCTCAAAAGTTTAATACTTAGTATACAATGTGTTCCATATCTGACTGGCAAGTTTTTATTACAGGGGATTATGAATTTCAGGGGATCTGATTCTTCAGATTGATCCTTCCTTGGTTAATACCACATGCAGAAAGGAAGAACAAGCTGATTAACTATTTAGAATTCCCCCTCTTCCCCAACAGACCAGACTCCCAATGTAGCATCAATTAAACAAGTCTTAGTTTTGTTCTCCACTTTATCGCTTTGGAGGCTTTGCGTAGAATTGCAGGTGGAGATAGGACAGTGTGAAACGGGATAAAAAATAACTTTAGCCTCCACTTTGCACTTAGGAGCCTCAGTAATCACGCACATGTTTAAAAAAAGGGTAAAAAAAATCTGTGATAAAGAATTCAGTTGAGCACCTCAAGTATTACCAAAATTATTTAACTAAAGGAAAAAAACTAATCATAGGCACGCTTCATTGAACACTTCCCAGATATTAAGTACTATGCTAGGCTATTTACATTCCTCATTAATTCCAAAAATCCCAAGAGGCAGTTATATTTTATTTCACAAATGGGTCACCTGCCTACTAAGTAAATGGCAGAATTTAGATCCGAACCCAGGCCTCCCAACGCCCTTGCTGGGGGATTTTTGCTTTGTTAGCTCCGGATTAGAAGGGCATAGGGGTAATAACCTGGGTCTAAGATTTAAAGGTGCTGGGCGTGAAAGCCGGCTGAACAAAGATAATTTTCTCACTCGAAAACCAAGCAGCCGGACCCTGGGCTTTGTTACTAGCTACTTCTCTACCGGCCTCGGGTGCGCGGGAAGGCGGTGCTTCCTCCGCCAGGAGGGTGGAAACTCGGCATCCGCTGGGCCTCGAATCGCCGCCTCCGACGTACGTGCAGTTCAGGGGAGGGGGTGAGGGATAGCGAACTGTACCCCCGCAGAGAAGGGCTGAGGCCGACGAGGTGGTGGGCGAGGCCGGTGACCCAATAAAGCGAGTTGGGCCGCGGGAGGCCCTGCCCGGCTCCGTTTCCCAGCAAAGCCCCAGGGTCCCGGGCCGGCGGCAGCTTCCGCGCCTCCGTCGCTGCTCTCGGCTTGAGGGCGCCTCTGGCCGAGGGTGTGAGCGCGCGCCGCCGGGCCCAGCTGGGAGCGACGTAGGCGGGAGGGAGCACCAGCCGCCCCGGAGCGGACAGGCGAGGCGGGGGCGAGGCCAGGAGCCCAAGGCGGCCGCCTATCCACGTTGCCCGGGAGCCGCTCCACCAGCGGCCCAGTCCGCGGCCCTCGGCCCGCCCCGCGCGCGCGTCCGCGCGCGCGTCCGCCGGCCCATCCCTCCTCCTCGCCACCCCTCCCGCGCGCGTCCACCGGCTTCCCGGCTCGCGCCGCTCCATGTAGCCCCGGATCCCCGGGAGACCGAGGAGGAGGGGGTGACCACAAGATGGCGGGTACGTGGCCCCCTGTTATCCTGGCGGCGCGACGGCGGTGGCGCCTCCCCGCGTCCGCCGGACCGCCCTGAGTGGAGTCGAGACCGGCACGGGGTCCCTGCGCGGGGAGGCCACCCGGGGCAGGGACGGAGGGTGGGTGGCGGGGGCAGCCGGTCGCGGGGGCGCTGACCGGGCCTTTCTTTTCTCCCCTCGGCGCAGACCTCTCGCTGCTCCAAGAGGACCTGCAGGAGGACACGGACGGATGTGAGTGCGCCCGCCCAGCTGTCCTTGTCGTCCGCAGCTTGCGGAGAGCGGCCGGGAAGGGAGGGGAGGCGGGCGGTGGCGGCCTGGGCCCAGCCTGGAGTGGGGACGGGCTCGGCGAGGCGTGGTCCTGGGCCGGCCAGGGTTGCCGTTTTGAGGGAAAATTGAGCTTTCTGGAGGAAACGGTGTGCCCCGGTTCCGATGGTGGAAAGAGATGCCCTGTGTAATGCTTCGAATTGGGTTTTGCCCCATCGCCCACCCGTCTCACTACCCCCAAATCTCCGGCGGGCTCGAGAACTGCCCAGCCGTCCGTGTTGGAAGAAGAAACTAGTAGGCAGAAATTTGATTTAGGAACTTGGGGTGTGTTTTTCTCCTTTAAGTGTCTTCCGGGGGCCTCCTCCATCCCCTCAACCCTCCTGGGGAAGGAAGAAGCTATAAGGAAGGAAGGTGTTTTTTTTCTTGTAGTAGCTCGCAAGTGTTCCTCAGCGGCCAGCTGTAGGGCAGCCTGGTCCCTGCTAGCCGCCTGAGTTCAGTTTCCTCCCCTTCTGATTGTTTGGAGATCACTTACCTGTAACTTCACTTTAGCTCTTAGCAGTTTTTACATTGCTCCCTGTTCATTTTACTTGTGGATTACGGGAAGGTTAGAAGGCGTGGCCTTGGCAGGAGTTATTAAATCTGGAGAGCCTACTTCTTTAATGCAAATATTCACAAATTACCCAGACCACTTTAAATATTACAATTTTAGCTTAATTCTTTGAGACATTGAAGTTTTAAAAGAGTTGATACTTTTGTTTAAACAAAAACTTTGACATTGTTTACAGAATAGTGTCACAAAGGAATTGTTCATTTCATATGTGTTCTTTTAGCATCAAAAGGTAATTTGGAAATTGTTCTGATTTGAAATGATAACCATGATAGAATTTCTGGTGTATTTAGAGGAAAGCCTGCCCGATGCTGAGGTTTACTGTGCCTAATACCTATGTAAGTAATTCAGACATGGCTACAGTTTGAAATTGCTCTTTTAAATATTATGTGATTCTTAGTATTGTCTGTTTTTGTTTCCCTTGCCCAAATTAAGCTTAATTTTTAAATTCCTGGGTGTTTTGAGTGAAATAAGGGGAATTTACTATTTAGAAGTATTCTATGAAAAGAGTCATTTTTTTGAAAGTAATGTAACCATATGCAAACTTATCTTTTTGTTAAGTATGTTTTTTTAAGTAAAAAGTTCTTTTAAAGGGAGTACTCATGTAATGAAGGACAGTTTTTATTCCATGTCATGTTTTACCGCAGTCTGCTAATCTGCCTACTAGTAAAGTAAAATATTTAAGGCTGCTATTGATTTCTTGCAAAGTTAGGTTTAAAGAGGTGGCTCTGTTTGTTATCCCAAAACAGGCTCCTCATTCTTGTATTTTGCTTCAAGACTTTATAAATAAAAGATATATTCATTCAGCAGGTGTTTAGAAATGTCTGGAGTAAGAACTTCTTTGTATTAATTTTTTTCACTTGGGTGCCATGCACTCTTAAAGGATGTGCTGCGATATCACTTTTGTTGCTTCTGACCTTTAAGGGAACATAGTCTAGAGGGGAAAGCATATCTGTGAAGAACTCAACAATGATTTATTCATGAGCCTCAAGACTTCTGCTTGGTTCAGAGGATAGAGCTGTGCAAAGGATAATCACAATCCATGCCCTCTAGTGGTTTATAAGCAATTTTAATGTCGAGTGTAGTAGTAAGTATCAGAGGCATTATAGCACAGTAGTTAGTAGACAGGACTCTGGAACCAGATTGTTTTGTTCCAGTCTTGGCATTGTCACTTTGGACAGACTCCTGTAATTCAACCTGTCTATGCCAATGATTTGTTATTTGTAAATTGATATGTAAATATTACATACCTTACTGAGTTGTTCAGGGCCTTACGTAGAAGAATGCATAAAAAGCACTTAGAATAGCACCTGGTAAATAGTGACTATTATGTGTTTGTTGTTTACATGAATAAAGTGTAAGGGAAGCTTGAAAGAAAGAGCAGAGAGCCCTGGCCTGGTGGCTCAGTTGATTGGAGCATTGTCCCCATGAGCCAAGGTTGCAGATTCCATCCCTGGTCAGGGCACATACAGGAAGCAACCAGGGGGTGCATGGATAAGTGAAGCAACCAGCTGATGCTTCCCTCTCCCAAGGAAGGGAGGAAGGGAGGAAGGGAGGAAGGGAGGAAAATGCAGGGAAGGAGATACTGATGTTGAGCATTACACTACAGAATTACTATATAATTATAAAAGTTTCTAATGCTTGCAGTTAACTTTTTATAGGTTGTTAGTTCCCATTGTGTGTGTGTGTTTTTTAAATATTTAACTTATTTTTAGACAGAGGGGAAAGGAAGGAAGAGAGGGAAAGACACATTGTGTGTGGTTGCCTTTCCCACACCCCCTGCTGGGGACCTGGCCCACAATGCAGGCATGTGTCCTGACTGGGAATTGAACCTGCGAATCCACTGAGTCATACCAGCTAGGTCCTCATTGTGTTTTAATTTAGATAAAAGTTATACATTTGAAGGCACAAATAGTTTATTTGCATATGTATAATTTTGTTGATTTAGAATAATTTAGAATAATTGTTTATTTTTGTTTTTTTTTATAGGTGATAGTTTTTGTAGATGATACTGTCACCCCTGGGAAACTTTCCCCTTATCTTTTTAGTTCTTCTGGCTGGTTAAATAAGAAACAACATACACAGATTAACAGGAGAAAATAAAATTTTATTATATGCACATGGGTAATTTACATAAACATAAAAATTCCAAAGACAGTGAGACAAAATGAGGTATAGATGTCATTTTGGAGAAAAGAGGGCAGAAAGAGGAGGCAGGTCTGGATTTCTAAAGGGAAATAGTCAACTCACAAGTTAGCTAACAGAGTGGTACACATTCTTGCTGCCTATCAGAAACAATGAAATAGAGGGAAATTTAGGGCACAGGTGTTTTTTTTCATGGATCCTTCCTGTATACCACTGTTAATTCATATGTGCTAAAGTGTTTATCCTAAGGTTCCCTTCCTGAAGCATGTTTTTCCATTGAATCCCTTTAAGAAGGAAAGGGGGAGATAAAACCAGACAAACAAAAAAACACTGCCTGAGTTTGTTGGGCTTTAATTGTTCATAGCTTGAAATAATCTGCATGCCAGGATGGCACATCCCAAGGAGAGCTCCCTACTCTGACAATACCTTTACCCAGAATACTCAGAAACAAGGGGTCTTTGAACATATGGCCAGTTGAAGAACCACTTGCCTTCTATTGTGAAAAGAGAAAAAATGAGAGAGACATTTGCCAATGGTGCCTAGGTTGAGGGCAAGTTGTTTGGTAAGGGAATTAAAAAGCTTGTCACATCCTGGAGAAGCTGAAGAAGGTAGAGAACCAGAGATGTCAGCAAGAATGGACCTTGGGCTCCCCTTACATCTCCACTGTATCTTATGTACCCAGTTTTCTGTCTCAGGCAATGCTGGTATGCAGGCTGGCCTCCAGAGTAATTGTGCACCAGGTCCTGCCACTTTATCCAAGCTAGGTCTAAGTTGGCCTTGGAGATGTAAAGAAATTATTTTCTAGCCAAGCTTTAGAATCTCAATTGCTTTTCCTAAATGCAGAACCTAGACTAAGGCAGAAGAGAGGGTAGATACTATTGTACAGGTAATCTGCAGCTGTGGAGACTGAGAGAGGACCTAGTGTCTAGATTTTGGTGTGTGTGTGGGGGGAATTGCCAGACCTTGGTAAGGGTCTCGGTTCTTTTGTTATGATTTGTTTTGTTTTAAACCCTAAAGTCTATAGAGCAATAGGTAGGGGAAAGGGTTAATTAAAAACTGACTTGACTGATATGCCTGAGGAAAAGAAACAAAATCCTAGTGTGTAAAAAATGGTGCATTGTACAGGGTAGGGCAGAAGTAGGTTTGCAGTTATGAGTATGAAACACAGTTTATTCTTGTATTAATATTTATTAATTATTGTATTATTTTCCATATGAACAACTGAACCTACTTTAGCCCCATCCTGTATGTACATATCAAAAGATCATAAAGGTAAGTAAATAAAATCATTATTAGGTACTATTACAATTAACTTGAAGAAAATAATGCGATGAAAAACATGTTTTAGTTTAAAAGTGATACTATGTCATGAAACACACTTTGAATTTCAAAGTGAAAGCAAGCCAGTGATTCCATTTGAATAGGTGACTTCAGAGTTGGGTAAGCCCTTTATTTTCCTTGAATAATGGGAGGCAATGCAAAAAGGACAAATAGACTTTGAGAGAAAGATACTTTACATTTCTATTGTCGGTTTTCCACAGACTCAATTTTGATTTACATTTAAGGTAATAGGTTTTCTAAAAGATGTAAAATAGGCTTAAGATACAATAAGATTTAATGAGTTAATGCTTGTAAAAATAATTTCATTGAAGGAGTTTGATTAAAGTTCACATTTTTATGAAAAGAACACATTGAAGATTATTTTAAAAGAATGATTGTATAACACTTTATAGTAGCTTTCATAAACAGATTATTCTTCATGGCAGCCTTCTGATGTGTAGGCTGTGGTATTCTGAAATTAATAAATAAGTCAACTGGTACACAAAAGAACTAAATTATTTTCTCAGGGAAAACTCCTAAGTACCAGCCAGAATCTTAAGCTAGGCCTCCTAATTGTGAATATTGTATTTTAAATATTGTCTATTCTTAAATTGCCCAGTTTATAACATTGAGCAGCCCAAGTTTCTTGTAATAGGTAATTTGTTTGAACCATGCTTAAAATAATCCTTGAAGATTAGTATGCTGCATATGGTTTAATTTATTCTAGGTAGAGATAATTAGAATGGAGCTTGAATATATTATAGCTTATTTAATATTTATGTTTACTTTTCTTTTTGGAGCTGTATTATGGCATATGCCATGACACAGAATGTTCCATACTTGTTTAAGTTTCGGAATCTTTTTACATGGATCCAGAACTAATTGGGTGTAACTA